TTCTCTGTTGGATATTGTTAGAATGGAATTTCAAATATTTCCTGCAATTTGAGTTAAAGATTACTGAATAATGCTGAGCAGCAAAAAATTTTTGAAGCGTACATCTAAAGCTGGCATAGTAGCTTAATGTCCCGTTGTTTCTCGCTTTAGCAAAATTAATTTCTACAGTCTTCAACCATGAATTCAAGCACCACCTGGAGATACAAACCCATAATTTAACTGTGGTGTATTTCTAGCTCCCTTGACTAATACACTGAGGCTAGACCTGTATGTCAGGCAGCTATAAAAGGAAAAGGCCATTTCATAGCAATACTTTACATTCTCCTAAGTCAGACAGCAGGCAACTTGAAAAACAGTATCTGGCCCATTATTGTAAATAAATGGGATTACCTGACATGAAATAAGTGTACACGGTTTTGCCTATATTAAAAGTATATATTCTACTATATAGTCAAGAGTAACACCTTTCTGATAGGACTCAACATATTCAAAAGGCTTTTAACTAACCTTTTCACCATACATGTGTTAGTGCATTACCATGGTTACTCCACACAGGTAAGGGTAGACTGCAAATTAAACCTAACAAAAAGGCGTAGTTCTATCATTCTAGAAAAAGACTAACAATAATCATGATTCCCTTTGCTTGATTACTTCACGGAGAAGTCTCCTTCATCCAAAGATGCAGCTATTGTCTTGCGGGTGTGTATGCCGGGTCACGAACCATCTGCGTCACTGACAATGTAAAAGTGTCATCAGCATTCAAGTTAGAAGATTAACGATGTCTAAATTAATGCCGCACTTGTGTTAGAAGATTAACAGCGGCTAGATTAACGACGGCTAAAAGCGAAAGTATTTCTGCTCATTAGGGAAGAAACAGATAAGAAGGGAATCTTTGGAATAACAAAGCAGAAATTTATCTACTGGTTTTGCACACTTAGTAGCGCTTGTTGAAAGTGCTGAGAGGAAGGAGTTTTTGAAATGAGCATGTGCCAGAGCAACACAAGGATTCGCTGTCACAAGAATATATAAGGACTTGTTTTTCTAATAAACGTCAGAGCTGGACTGTTAACCATATTGGTGTGCGTCATGTCTCTCATTCTTGTCCTGCAAAATAAGGCCTCCTGCTACATTTTCTTTTCCGTCATTTGTGTCCACAGTGTAAGCAGTCATGCTCCCGATTTTATTCCATGGCCATTATTCCCTTATCACTCATACTGGGAACATGCAGACTTACTCCTTGGTTTTCTCCTACAGGAAGCCAGAAATTCCCCTCAGAATGGCCTGGAACGCTGCTTCAGACAGTATGACTACCGTGAGTTCAGATGAAGTAATTCCTCAACACCACCCAAGCCAGGTAAGGCAACTCTAAATGCCTTCACAACACACCCAATAGTTTTAAGCATTGATCCTCAGTTTAATGCTGTAAGAAAACCATTCTCACTGGTTCCAACACAACCCTTGTTGACACTCTGAACTGAAAAGCAAACAAAAATATATGTATGTGTTTTCGAGCTGCAGGAAACTCAAAATTATGTAACACGGGTATGGCCAATAGACTCCAAACAGCTAGAATCATGGGCCTACACTTTTATTAAGAGATGGGGACAGTTTAGCCTTACAGTGTATAACTGATTGAATACAAGCACATGCAGAAATTGCGTGCTTGTTTTTATGTGAGCACAATGAATAAATACCATTTTTTATTTTTTTCCTCAAGGACCAGTAAAAATACCAATTACAGACAGTACTATAAGCAACACTAAAGCCATCCATGAACTCTGTTGCTGCATAAAAATCAATTTGGACAAGGTTTCCAAAAGCAGGGCAAATACCAAAATGAACCCGTGTAACAGCAAAAAACCTCCATACAGAACACAATGCATTTAGTTGGGTCAAGTTTATTACTGATAAATTCATATTTTGTAAGTTACATTTCACATATGGATGTCATTAAGATAAAAATTGATCACTATTTTCATTCTGTAAGTGTTAGTTTCTAAACAGTTAACTTTTAAAAGTCAAGATCATAAAATACTATTCTCCCTCCCCAGATATTTCTAGTGCTATTTTCTTTAAAATATGATTCAATACTTGTTGGGAAAAAAAGAGAAAAATTCAATCTGTATAATGGCAACTATTAACAACTTAGTTCTGTGAAAATATAGAAACAAATACAAATGGATATTGTAAAACTAAGATGAAATATTCTAAGCAAACTGTGTGATCATAATTCATAGAAATAACCTTAATGAGAACAGCACTTGTAGTTACATGACAGGTTTGGCATGGAAAAGCATCCGTCAGTCATTCTGACATGGAAAGGATGGATAAAGGAAGCAGACGGATTCACCTGCTTGCACTGAGTCTAAAAAAAGTGAAGTAATCATTACGGCTGGTAACTTTTTGTATGAAAATGTATTCCTCGATTATCAGGTTATAACAACAAGTGCAAAAGACAGTCATATAAGAGAAAAAGCAAACATTTATTTCCAGTAGAAATGGTTTTACCACTTGACTAAATGTTTACCTCATTTTAAAAAACTTAAAAGGACATCAGCTTAATGTTTAAGTCTAGTTTGGGGAGGGCAGGGAGTTGGTTTTGGGGGTTTTTTTGGTGCTGTTTTTTATTGTTGTAATGGATTAATTTAAGATTACAAGGTTTGATTTTGTAGAACTTGAATTGTTACACGTGTAATTTCTCCTTTAGAATACCAACCTGACTCTTCTGATTTGGTTTAAAATGCATCAACACTTTTATGTGTTTTTTTAAAACAAGAGGAAACTGAATGAAGGAGCTATTGCATAATACCAAGATAATTTTGAGATGTTCATAAACAAGCAGATTTTCATTACTCACATGCTTACAGCTAATGCATTAACCTGCTAGTTTTTCTGAACATACTAAACAGACTGGTATAACCCTCATTCAAAAGCAGGGATGTGATGGATATGCCTTTGAAACTCACCATATCAACAAAACCAATTTCAGGATACTACAAAAATCAAATCAGGCAAGGCAAATGTACCATTTAATCAAGGTAACATTCTTTTTACATGAATCCCTAATCTGACATTCTTCTTGTTGCATTTTAATTAGAAAGTCACAATTCCCAAGGAAATTGCCTTATAACTTTTATACAGTCTGCATAGGGGAAAAAAAAAAATCTTTAGATGCATTTTAATGCAAGTGTTTCAAATATTTAACTAACTGAATCCGTGATGTCCAGATTATGGACTGGCATTTTTCATCACAAATGTACATTTAGGTTCCATGGTCTGGAAACCCACTTAGCAGAACAACTAGACAGCAAATACAGAAAAGCACTTTGTAGTACTCATGCCACTCTCCTATTTGCAAAGGGTGCTTTTACTCTTCTTCTCTCACCATTTCCCATCTCCCAAGGGTTTGCAAAAGCCTCTACCACCTGAGTTCACCTACTGTGGGAAAAAACTACCTAATTCACCTAGAAGTTACAAGTCACAACCAACCTCCTCCACACATTGACATTAGTGAGTAGAAAATCCACACGTTTCTGTCACAAACTGTCTGTTCAACCATGAAAAAGGTAAATTTGTGTTAAGGTAAAAGAGAATCCAGTAAGACTATTTCTCATACACCAGAAACACAATTCTTCTGTTCTCTTTGTAATAATTCAGAGACCAACTTTGCTGAATTTACAGCAAATATACTAAAGTCTTGGGAGGGGGCATGTGTGTTTTGATTGCCTTTTTTTTTTTTTTTTTTAAACAGAGATTCTCTAAACCCTTTACTTCTATGAACTGCGAGAAGAAATCCTCCAGAAATAGTAATGATCTTCCAGGGTCTCTCAGATTTGCCCACGGTGGGATTGCTGTTATCAAGCCACTGTGCTACCACAACTCCTAGTCAGTGACAGAGCCCTGCAACACCTGAACCTCGCTCCAGGCACTGCAGGCCTATGAGCATCAAGCCAAACACCTCAGATCTACCTACACACAGACAGCAAAGGAGGCCTTAACTGTCAGTGTCCTCTATCAAGCATACAACACGTGTTTGTACTATTAACCTACTTAGAAAAAAGAAACAAAAAGGAACATTCTGGTCACAATTTTTATTAAGATTGAACTAATGAATAGTTCATAAAGATTATTGATACATATTACAAGCAAACTATACATGATCTGTGTCTTTTCAGCAGACACAAGTACAGAATGTTTTATGGCATCCTATCTACCTATTAAAAACATATTAAAGGTTGTAGAAATCAATCAATGAATGATTAATTACCTCCAATTATGTAAAATCCAAACAAAACTATTAAGACATAACAACAAAGCCACAGGATGAAATTAAACCAGTTCCAAAGAAGGTAAAATTTCTCTTTAAGACAGAAAGTTTTCTGAACCACAGCAAAAAAAATCTGGGTTATAAGCAGAATTTCTAGATATGTCTGTTTCTTCATACCATTTAATGTATATGCAGCATCACGTAACTGAAGTTTAGAAATGAAGAGTGAAAAGTTGGTTTTGGACATTAGCACTAGTAATACAAAGAAATGTATAAAAATGTAAGTTCTTCAGGAAAAACATATCTGTATTAATTTCCTAAATTAAGATTTTAATTGTTCTTGCTTGTATCTATATCTTTATCTTTTATAAACTCTATTACAGATTTCTTGTATACCTTTAAATTAAAGATTTTAATCCTCTTAATCCCATTTCAGTACTTTTTTGTAATCCTTTATTTCTGAAAAATTCCTTATAACTATTCCCTTGAATCAGAACCCAGAAGAGGTTTCCAAAACCGTTCCAATTCTACTATTATTTCTAATATTGAAACTGGCTATTATCTTTTTTTTTTTTTTTTTTTTTTTTTACAGTCTTAAACATTTTAAATTTTAATTATATTACACAGACATGTTGCGGGTAAATGCATGAGATAAAAGAAAAACAGTATTATACATGGAGATGACAAAAAAGGTAACTTCACAAATTATTGAAAATTAATTATAAAAGCTTACCTTTAAAAATTCATCAATTTCTATAGATGGCAATGAAGAAAAAGAAAATCCCATCCAAAATACAGTTAAAGAACACAGCCAGCTGTTAACAGAGAATAATTCATTTTAAAATATAGAAAAAAAAAAGGAAAGAATTCTGGCAGTCTACCCTTCAAAACTATTAGTTGCCTTGAAAAATAATACTTAATCCTCACAAAATGGAGATTAAAACATCTTGAGTATTGTGTTGTTTAATTACACCAATTTCCAAGTAATTCAGTATCTTTTGAGTGCAAAAACTGTAAGGTATATTTCAAGAATTAGTCGAGTGTCCAATCCACATGAGCACTAAATTTCTATTACTTCTTTTGCACATAATGTTTCCATTTATGTAGCTCTTTGGCTTAAAGCGCTACACAAAAGACACATACTAATAATACAAGGGGTGATCATTAAAGAATATTTAAAAATCATATCAACACCTTATGATCTCAAAAAAATACTGGCAACAGAAGACGGAAAAGTGGCAAGAAAATTGTGAGCCAATAACAAATGAAGAATTCTGAAGACTGTGACAAAGTTGACAGGAAAAACAGCATTAAGTTTAGAATGAAAATATCAAAAACTTTGAAAAGATTGTAAGACTAATAAATCAGCAAAAATAAGTCAAATGCACCACACTTCTTGAAGATCAAAAGATGGAAGATTTGGAAGAGAAGATTTAGAAGTCTGGGTTGCAGAAGCTCAAAGACAGTGTGTTTATAGATTTCTACAGTCTGAAGACAGTGGCATGATTTAACAGCATGAGAAATGCTATCAAGAACTAACCCTTCCTACAACTCCAGGAAGGTTTCTACCCAGAAGCAAAGGATATATTTTAAAAACTAAAAAACACCAGGAAAAGGAATTGTAAAAAACAGATGGAGAGACAAAAGCATGTCATCTACATTTTGCTTGGAAGATATTAAAGCTTAGCAAGTAGAAACAAAATGTAAGCCAAGTAAAGCCAAAATGGTAGAATTGTTGAGTTTTTCTAACTTTAAAAATTACATCACATTTGTAAAAGGTGAAACTTCAAGGTATCTTTAGTTAAACTAACACAAAACACAGTACAGTCTTAAACCAGTTTGACTCTATCTTGTATTAATTACACTGGGATTTAAAATAAACTTACACACGTCTAAGCTCGAGCAAAAAAATGATGGAGTCTTACCTACAGAAGAAAGTTCATTTAGCTTAGCAGAAATCCACTAAACCAATAGTCTGCAGTGCTGATACACAGAAATCAGCTTACAGCATGCTAACATTGATTTAGCTGAAAATTGATAAAGAATCAATTTAAACTGAACCAATTACGCTGAGTGGAAATTACCTTCTGCAGGTCCACATCAGGTTTTGTCTACTTTTAAATACTCTTAAATTAGTGTTAATTAAGTCTTACAACATCTGGATGTGAAAAAGGTTAGAGTCACCAGGGTAAAGCATTTTAGGACACTCTGACTGGAAAACAACCTTGCTTCTACTTACCAAGCTTCTCTACATTTCCCAACATGCCAGATCCCAGTTTTGCTTTCAGCTATTTGGCTTTTGATATCCCCAGAAGGAAATATAGGTACAATCTTCATTCATATTAAAAATGTACAGTTTTTAACTGATATAAATCAGTATAGACATTTAAAATAAATGAAGTGTGACTGTACCTTTTTAACACTGACACTGCAGTTTTCTGTACTGCAGAAGCTGTCAGAGGTTCAGCTAAAGCCTTCCTTGAGGAAGGAAGTTCTGAGTTATGGCATTACCACGATTAGGAACAAGACTCACTAAAATGAGAACACTTTGCATGACAAGCATAAATACTTATATTTTAGACCCACTGCGCAAAAAACCTAACTTCTTATTTCTGTCTGAGAACCGAATAAGAAATTGCATAAGTGTACACACTGTTGATTTTTAAAAAAAGTTCCAGTGACTGTAAGGACTAGCATAAGATTTAAAACTAACCCTGCAGAATAATATTCAGACAAGTGAGACTTCACTATATACTTAACTAAATTACAGAATGTGTCCAATAAGGAACCCTGCCAGGAACCAAGAAAAAAAAATAATCCACCGTGCCATCCAAGCCTCTCTTCTATAGCATAATAATACAAGTTTAAGAATCTGTGGGGTTTGCTGATGTATTTAGGCCAACATCAGCCTCAGTTCAGGCACAGACCAGAAGAGTTTACTTCAGCCAACAATCCAAAACACAACTAAATTAACAGTGCTATTTTTGTACAAGTCACTAGTTTAGTCATGCTGTTTGAACAGCAGAATAGCCCAGGTAATCTCTAAGTAAGAGGGAACGGCCAAGGGCAAGGATTTTATAAAGGTAGTTATGCACCTCCTCCTGAAGGGCCGACAGAAAGGTGCCACAGGCAGCAGGGAGAGAGGAAGCGAGGAAAGAAACCCGGTGCCTGCACGGATTCCCGAGGTTTTGGGGTTCCCTGGCAGCGCGGGTGCACACACACAACTTCCCAGGAGGAGGCCGGGCCTGAAGGAAAGCCGGACAAGAGGCTACGGCGCGGAGAAAGCACGGGGAAACCTCTGCCCTCCCTCACCGCGCCGGGGGCCTGGGCCTGAGGAGAGGAGCTGCCGGCTGCCCCCCGCCTCCCTCCCCACGCCCGGACTCACTGAGGTGCGCAACAGCCTCGCAACCCCGGTAGGGCGAGCGTGGGGGGTGGGAGGGCCCAGAACC